GACGCAGGATGTTCGAATAACCTAGCCGATGCAAGGCAAGACCCCAATATAATATAGAATAGGAATATGTAATTCCTCTGATATATTAATTAGTATATAGAAAGGAATGCCCAACTAATTACATATATTATAATAATTAGCCGCATGTGGTGCACGATGCCTGTGAGTCTCAGGGCTACGGTCGATGAGGTCTGAGCATTTCTAGGGTGGAGAACTGCTCTAGAGCCCAGGAAGCGTACTTGGAACCAGCGACTGTGAGCTCTTCATGGAGCTGGAGTTGGCCTGAGCGACACCAGGATCAGCTCTCGAACTAGATGTCCAGACTTCAGAGCGACGCCGAGCAACAGCATGCAAGGAACCCTTTTCTCAAAAGACAATCATAAACTAATAAATCGAGAAGAAAATTAATTGGCCAAGGGTAAGAGTATATAAAGAAACAATTAGAGCGCATGGGGCCCAGCTGTAGTCCCAGCCTCTCTGGGGAAGTGGTCTGAGCAGCGAGGAATGCTAGCCAGGCTACGAGTAGTTAGAGCCTTGTCGTCAGGAAGCTATGACTGCATATCACCCACACACCCAACCAAAACAACAACAAAAATATGTCACAGGGATATAGGTTCAACTCATGCGAAAGGTAGGAGAATTGTTTATCCATACCAGAGAGGCTTTTATAGGCAGACACACCAAGATATCATCTAGATCCCGAGAAAAAAAAAAATAGAAAAATGCTTATAGAATAAGGATATAAAGAAAATGTTTTTGTACAGCTGTACAATGTGTTTGCGTTTTAAACCAAGTGTTATTACAAAAGTGTCAAAAAGTTTTAAAAAGTTTTAAAGTTTATAAAGTAAAAAGGTTTTATAGTAAGCTAAGGTTAATTTACTATTGAAGAAAAAAAATGTGTTATGAACTTAGTATAGCTAAGTATATAGTGTTTATAAAGTCTACAGTAGTATATGATGATGTCTTAGGCCTTCACATTCACTCACCACTCACTCATTGACTCACCCATCACCCAGAGCAACTTCCAGTCTTGCAAGCTCCATTCATGGTAAGTGCGCTATACAGGTGTACCTTTTTTTTTAAATCTTTTATACCATAATTTTACTGTACCTTTTCTATGTTTAGATATGTTTAGGTATACAAATATTTACCATTGTGCTACAGTTGCCTATAGTGTTCAGTACATAACATGCTGTACAGGTTTGTAGCTTGGGAACAATAGGCTATACCATAGAGCCTGGATGTGTAGTATTGTATGCCAAGTAGTTTTATGTAAGTACACTTTATGATGTTTGCATGATGACAAATTGCCACATTTCTTAGACCATATCCCCGTTGGTAAGCCATGTATGACTATAGTCTGTTCATTTTGGGGTTTACCTTCATTAGTATTTGTTTGTGAGATTCATTGATGTTGTTTAGGGTTCCTTTAGCTCCACATTCTTGTCAACACTTGGTATTGTCTGTCTTTCAGTTCAGTAGAGCTCTTTATGTAATCTGATTATGAGCCCTTTGCTGGTTATTTGTGTTGTAAATATCCTTTTCCTCTAACTCAATTTTTTACTCTTTTAATGGTTCTCGATTTTAAAGTAGTTTAGTTTATCCTTTTCTTTATACTTGGTGATTTTTTTGTATCTTATTTAAGAAATCTTTTCTTCCCCAGTAATTTCTTTATCTTTCATATTTCATATCAATTTAGAAATCTCAGCAACTAAACACAAATGTATTTATTTTTTTGTATTTTTTTTTAATTTCAGCATATTATGGGGTACAGATGTTAAGGTTACATATATTGCCCATGCCCCCCCCCTCGAATCAGAGCTTCAAGAGTGACCATCCCCCAGATGTTGCACATCTCTCTCATTGTGTTTGTATATTCCCATCCCCTCCTCCCCCCTCCCACCTGCCTGACACCCGATTAAACACAATTTTATTTTATTTTATTTTATTTATTTATTTATTTTGAGACAGAGTCTCACTTTGTTGCCCAGGCTAGAGTGATTGCCGTGGTGTCAGCCTAGCTCATAGCAACCTCAAACTTTTGGGCTCAAACAATCCTGCTGCCTCAGCCTCCCGAGTAGCTGGGACTACAGGCATGCGTCACCATGCCCGGCTAATTTTTTCTATATATATTAATTGACCAATTAATTTCTTTCTATTTATAGTAGAGATGGGGTTTCGCTCTTGCTCAGGCTGGTTTCGAACTCCTGACCTCGAGCAATCCGCCCACCTTGGCCTCCCAGAGTACTAGGATTACAGGCGTGAGCCACCGTGCCTGGCCCACAGTTTTTTTTTTTTTTTTTTTTTTTTTTTTTTTTTTTTGAGACAGAGTCTCGCTTTGTTGCCCAGGCTAGAGTGAGTGCCGTGGTGTCAGCCTAGCTCACAGCAACCTCAAACTCTTGGGCTCAAACAATCCTGCTGCCTCAGCCTCCCGAGTAGCTGGGACTACAGGCATGCGCCACCATGCCTGGCTAATTTTTTTTTATATATATATCAGTTGGCCAATTAATTTCTTTCTATTTATAGTAGAGACGGGGTCTCGCTCTTGCTCAGGCTGGTTTTGAACTCCTGACCTTGAGCAATCCGCCCGCCTCGGCCTCCCAAGAGCTAGGATTACAGGCGTGAGCCACAGCGCCCGGCCTTGGCCCACAGTTTTAAATAATAGTCATTTTCACTACAACATAGAATTGTAGAAGATCTCTTTATAATGCTCTAACTACATAATAATCTTTAAGTGTTAATGTAGAGCAAGCAGTTGAGGTTTCTGTGTGAGTTACTTTTTAAGTTCGAAATTGTGAAGGGGCTGAGAATTTACACTGCTTACAAGTTTGCCTCCTATAGTTTTATATTTTATTTACACACTACTGTATTTGTACACACTCATATTGACAGAAGAACACAAGACCTCTGGGTCAGAGAAGTAGACCATTTATGATATAGCAAAACAGCAACCAGAGCAGTACCTTGTGTTAGTTTCTAATTCTCACAGGGTAATATGATGAGGGCCAAATGTTACTTGTGTGTACAGTGTGATGCACCAAAGGAGAGGGAAGGAGAGGAATCTTGAAATTAGGAGAATATGATTTTTTAAAAATTCTCAATGTGATAATAAGGAGAATATAATCTTTTAACAAGGCTGGTAGTGATTCTGCCCTCCAGAAAGATATTACCCCGTCATGTAAGCAAATGTGTACAGGGGAGAGAAGGAGAGAGCTTTACCTTCATTAACTTGGGATGTCTCTGGGGAAATACATATCTCTTATTCTTTACAGAAGGCCACACTGTCTCTAGCTTCTAAGGCATGATTGCTGTTCAAACACCTCCTTTGTTCCATCTATGCAGGAACATGAGAAATCCATGGAGAATTGTCCTCCAACGGTTACTCCATGTTGTATTTATTTATAGTGTAGGTGTGCTGAATGCCATACCTTAGGAAAGAATAGGATCTACTTGGAATTTCGGAAAAGTTAAGTTAAAATCCCACAGTATTGTGCTTACATAGGAGCAATGGAACTGATTCAGAAGGGTCATAATTAAGTTAATTTTGACTAAGGATTTAGCTTCATTCTTTTTTCTCATTCTAATCATTTTCCTTCTCTCTTTTCCCCTTCATCTCTTCTATAAACCATAGGCATTAAGCTATCAAAACATTATTTGGTATTGTACATATAAGAGACTGAAGTTTCTGTTTCTTTTGGAGTATTTAATGAATCGTCATCAGTTAGTGCTTTCTTTACTTTTTTGCTATGGTGTCTGTAGGACCAGATGGCTAGTTATTAGACAAAGACTTCTGAAGCCTTAAGCATGAACACTTCATTGTTGATACTGGTCCTCTTGGGGGATTTTGTGATAGGATAACCTGGATGTGGGACAGGGGCAATGAGACCAGCTGCTGATTCCTGCACTTCTCTTTGCCAATGCTTCCTTTTACCGTCTTTCTGCCCCTTCCCCTGCAGGCAATAGCACTGCAGGTGCTGCCTAGCTGGAATTGATTCTTGTATGTGGTCTTAGGTAGTGGTAAGTTTTCTTTTTTAATTGTCTGGTGCCCTTTAAAAAATTGTTTTAGGCCAGACACGGTGCCTCACACCTGTAATGCTAGCGCTCTGGGAGGCTGAGGTGGGTGGACCATTTGAGCTCAGGAGTTCCAGACCAGCCTGAGCAAGAGTGAGACCCGTCTCTACTATAAATAGAAAGAAATTAGCCAAACAACTAAAGATAGAAAAAATTAGCCGGGCACGGTGGTGCATGCCTGTAGTCCCAACTACCTGGGAGGCTAAGGCAGGAGGATTGCTTGAGCCCAGGAGTTTGAGCTTGGTGTGAGCTAGGCTGACACCACGGCCCTCTAGCCTGGGCAACAGAGTGAGAC